TGAGGCAGCGCAGGTGGCTTGATGTGGTGAAGGATTATGACAGTGAGATCCTTTATCACCCCGGGAAGGCCAATATGGTGGCCGATGCTCTCAGCCGCAAGATGGTTACCTCCGTGATCAGGAATGTGTGTATGAGGATGACCGTGATTACCCTACTCTTAGAGCAGATTCGAGAGGCTCAGGTTGAGGCTATGAAGGAGGAACACCAGAAGAGTGAGCACATAGTGGGCTAGGTGGCTTCTTTTGATTATGATAGCCGGGGATTGTTGACCCTTCATCGGAGAGTCTGGGTTCCATACTACAGGGGTGTACGACAGATATTGATAGAAGAGGCACACAAATCGAGATTTTTTATTCATCCGGGTGCAACAAAAATGTACAGAGATCCCCGAATCGATTATTGGTGGCCCTGCATGAAGTAGGATGTGGCTTGGTATGTGGAGATGTGTTTCACTTGTAGGAAAGTCAAGGCCGAGCACCAACGACCTCATGGAAAAATGGATACGTTGGGTATTCCGATTTGGAAATAGGAGGAGATCACGACGGACTTTATCACGAAGTTACCACACACAGCACGAAGAATGGATTTGATTTAGGTCATTGTGGACCGATTGACCAAGAGCACTCATTTTATTCCCATTCACGAGAACATCTCAGCAGAGAAGCTAGCAGAAATCTACATCCGGGAGGTTGTGGCACAGCATGGGGTGCCGGTTTCAGTTGTTTTAGTGTCACACCCCCGAACCAGACGGCGGGAACGTCCGAGGGCTCGCGTGACTTAAATTGAACTATCATCACAATGAATATACATGAAACATAACACATTCATCACAAAACATTACATAGTATAACTGGCATTGTTTACATCAAGTACATGGTTTACATTACATGATCCCAAAATATAAAGTGTTTGATGATTAGCAACTACAAAAGAAACTTTCAACACACTGGATGCTTCCTCGTTCTAACGATTACCTGAGAATACAAGTTATTTTGAAAACGGTCAACATATATAATGTTGGTGAGTTCATAAGTATGTTTGATGTAAAATAGTTTATGTTGTTCGTAAAACCCAGAAAATCCGATATTTTCTGTAATGAGACTTTTTATGAAAATGTTGTGATGATCCTGTAAGTATATGCGTGAATGATTTCAAAACGTGTATAAATGAGAAGTTTTGCATTATAGTTTTTGAAAGTACAAGTGAGTAAGATTGGTTTCCCTGGAAAACCCGATGTTTTCCGATAAAATATTATGACTATTTTGTATTATTGTATCGTCACAGCGAATGAATATGATTTCCCCTGATTACTTAGATGGCATTGGATCTCTATGTGAGTCGTTATAACCATGCATGATAATGACTAGTTCGTCTGTCTTGGCATTCTAATGAACACCAGAATTGATCTTAAGATTTTGTCACCCTAGACTGGCCGAGTCTAACTGTAGCGAACAACTTAGGTGTGGGGGAGTCACCCCCGTATAGATCTATACACAAACTCTCGCTCTCCCTCCAGGAGACTTTGATTACAACTACAGACTACGACCGACACTTATTGGTGTCGCCCGTTATTACTCACTTAATCAAAATGAATTTGATTAACCTTGATTAATGACCTGATTTTAGTTTACTTAAAGAGAAGATAAGCCTAACAGACGAGGAGAAGAGGACTACTAGGCCTTACTAATTACGTATGTTATTTAAGGCTGTCGAGTATACGAAAGGCGCGTTGGCCCATTTCGCATAAGATTTATTTGGACCTTACTAGAAATGATAATGGGCCACTGAGGCCCAATAGCATGTAAAAGCCATTGAGGGTCCCTTAAGCATGTAATTGGGTCACAGGAGGCCCAATAACATGTATTATTTATGTTGGGCCCAAAAGTCATGTTAATGTGTCACGAAGGCCCAATAAGCATGATTAGAATCGTTCAAGCCCAACAATTAGAATGTTTACTTGTTTTGTATAGTATTAGTGTTGCGAAGTTGTTTAATCGATATGTCGTAATAATCACCAATTTGTTTTATAACGATTCATAGATTTATAAAAATAGTTATTTTTCTATTTAAAACCCATAAGTTATAAAGTTTTGTATATTTTGACCCAATTATTTTATTATTAACATAATTGACTAAAAATATTAGTTTGACCAATTCAGCCCCTTATTTTGGTAAAGTTGGCAATTTTTAGCCCTTTTTATGAAAAATGACATATTAGGTCCTTGAACTATTTTTCTTGACATTTTTGACCTAAACACTTAATTAAATGATGTTTTAAGCCCAAAATTTTATTTAGGACAGTTTCAGCCCCTTAGTTAAAAGATTTGCATTTAAATCCACACTTTTCGCAATTTTTATAATTTTTACCCAAAATCCAAAATCTTTGCATTTTTAGTCCCTTTTGATAAATAAGGCCATTTTAACCCCTAAAATAGGTTTATATACGTTTATAGCCCCTGTTTTGAGAAAAATTCCATTTCAGCCCCTTAAATTTGATTTTTCGCATTTTTGGGCCTAAATAGTCGAAAAGCCCAAATTTTAGCGCATTAGGCTAAAATTTACATTTTTAGTCCTTTAAAAAGCCTAATATTTATAAAAGCTCTTATTTTAGCTGTTTTGACCTTTTGATCCTTGTAGAAACCGTGAATGACATCTTTTTCCCCATCTTTTGTTTATTTATCAAAAATGGTCCAATAACAAATTTTATGTTGTAGTGTGTTTATTTTAAAGCTTGTATAGTAGTTTATCTTGACATGTTAAGTGAAATATGACCTAGATCACATATTTTTCCTTCTTGAACTATAGATCTCGAAATATCTTTCATTTTTAGCACATATTTACCACAACAACACAAGAAATCACACATAACATACAAATACACATAGATCTTCACATTTTACTTGTATTCTCCCCCATAAATCATATGAAAACTGAAAATAGAGGGGTATGAACTCACCTTAGGTTTGTGGGTTCTGTTTTGAAGAAATAAATGGAAGAGTTTGGTCCTAGCAACTTCCTTGAGTAGATCTCGAACTCAAGAAGATTTCTAAGAGTATAAACACCAAAAACTTTGTGTAAAGGAATGATCTAACAAGAGAGTGAAGTTATGAAGCTTGGATGTGTAAAGACTTACCAAAGATTGACAACACTTGATGAAGACTCTTGAATCCAAGCCAAATTTTCGAGAATTCCTTGAAGGAAGGAAGGAGATGGCCTTAGAGAGAAATTGAGAGAATTTTTGTGTAGTGTGTGTGTGTGTTGTGTGTCTTCGGCCGAAACAAGAAGAGGGGAGAGGGGAGAGAGTGAGATGAGTTGACATGCATGGAAACATGAGAATGGTGCATGGATACCCTATGTATATTTATGAGGTGGCACTACAATTGTCAACCCTCATTTATCCATTCTTTTATATATTTTCTTTTTTTTGTTTTACTTGGGCCGAAATGGGCTAAGGAAGGAGGAAGGAATCACTTTGGCCCTTTCTTGCCTTGACTCGAGTTCATGAGGCCCATAAGGAAAACTTACGGCCCATTGGGCCCTTAGGGTAGCTCACGGCCCAATTTTTGTATAAGAGAATGGATTTGAGTCCATTAAAGCTAATTGGATTAGTTATGGCCCAATAAGGCCCATTAAAGATAAAGTAGTCTATTTTAGGCTTATAAGGCCCAAAAAGGTTAAGTCTTATGAGAGTGGGTCCAATGAGATCCCATTTAAGAGTTCTAAGCCCAAAATAGTCAAATTGGAAGCTTATTGGCCCATTAGGCCCAATAAGGAAACCCTAGTCCATATAGGACTTAAACCGAGATTTCTAGGGTTTTCAACTTTACTTGATGAATCTAGGTTTGAATGTGTTTCCATAGGTTGAACTTCAAGCATAACATGAATTAGGGTTACGAGTTTACAGTAGATAATGTTTACAAGAGTACAGAATTTCCTAGCTAGAATGCTAGTTGTGACATTTAGATAGGGATGTTCGATTTACCTCCAGGTTCTAGAACAGATTTCATGAGGAGTTGGGTACTCGCCTGCACTTCAGCACGACTTTCCACCCGCAGACTGATGATCAGAGTGAGCGGACCATTCAGACTTTGGAGGACATGCTTTGGGGTACGTGTACTAGATTTTTGCGGGAGTTGGGATACATACCTTCCTTTGGTGGATTTTTCGTATAACAAACTTATCATGCCAGTATTGATCGAACTCCTTTTGAGATGCTCTATGGGAGGAAGTGACAGACCCCGATTTGTTGGGGGGAGGTCGGTCAGCGAGTCATGGGTAGCATGGAGGTGGTGCTTCGAACTACTGAGTTGGTCCAGCAGGTAGGCGAGAGGTTGCAGATCGCACAGAGCCACCCAAAAAGTTATGCTGATAGGCGGTGGTCAAATTTAGAGTTTCAGGTCGGGGAAATGGAACTCCTGAAGGTGTCACCATTGAAAGGTGTCACCCGATTTTGGAAGCGGGGCAAGTTGGGCCCTAGATATATCGATCCCTTTTAGGGTTATTGCCCAGGTGGATAGGGTTGCGTATCGATTGGAGCTACCCGAGGAGCTTATTCAGATTCACAACACTTTTCACGTCTCTCAACTGCGGTAGTGTTTGGTTGATGATTCCGCAGTGGTTCCTTTAGAGGACATTCAGGTGGATGGGCGCCTGAATTACATAGAGAGGACCGGTTTTGATCCTAGACAAGAAGACGAAGACTTTGCAAAACAAGGTTGTGGGTCTAGTGAATGTGTAATGACAGCACCAGAAGGGTTTAGAATGGATATGGGAGCCTGAGGAGGAGATGATTGAGCATTACCCAAAATTGTTTGCAGAGGCGGACTTCGAGGACGAAGTCTGATTCAAGTGAGGGAGAGTTGTAACGCCCTGTTTTTCAAGTAAATTTGTTATTTATTAAGTGTTTATTTATTTTGCATGGAGACCAAGTACGCTGGGCGTAAATGAGGTATGTTGGGCGTACCTCGAAGGATCTGGGATACGGGGTTAACCCCCTGGTATGCCAGGTGTACCTATGGTACGCTGGGCGTACGTGAGCAGGGGCAAACCCTAAAATTTAGTGTTTGCATACTATTTAAACACCTTATTCCCTAAGGATCTCTCATTATCAACCTCCATTGTCCCTATAAGCATTATCTCGAAACCCTAACCCATTTTTAGAGAGAATTGATCCTTGTATGCGTTTTGGTGTGTGTTTAGTGTATCTTGAAGAAGAAGAAGCTTGGTAAAGGAGCATTGATCAAGTAGGAACTTGTAGATCCAGGGTTTATTCATCTTTTTCAGCTTCCTAGAGGTATAAAGTCTTGACCTTGGTTATTCTATGCTTAGATCTAGGACTAGTTGAGATTTGAGCAGATTTTGGTCCCATGAATGAGTTCTTGTGAGTAAATGTTACTCTAGAAGTTATGAGATGTTCCTTTTGATATTTTTGAGGTTCCTAGTTCATATCATTAAATTAACATATGTCCACGACGAGACTTGAACCCATCCATTAAAGTCATTCGAACTATCCAAAACATATCATTTTCACTGGGTATTGCAAATTAATGTTTTCTTTTTTGGGTACACAATTTACCTTTAATTTTTTTTACACTTTTACCATTAATTTTTTTTATATAAATTAAGTCACACCATTAAATTTTTTTTACACGATTTACTATCTTCTCTGGCAAACTTATCCACTTTCATAACAACCGTCTACACTTACCGTCATTGTCCACCTCCCACCACCATTAACAACAAACACTACCTTCTATCACCACCATTCGCAATTACAACCATCCATCTCCATTATTCACCCCTACCACCACCAAATAACTAATCTAAAATTAACTTCAACCTACAACAAAATCAATTCAAACCTATGATTGATTCAAACTCATATCCAAACCTAAAAATTGATTCAAATTTCTAATCAGTTCAAAGTCATATTCCAAGCATAAATTTATGTCATTAAATGAATGTGGTTAATATGGCTCATAATTCAAGAAGAAAGGGGTAAGAGAAAGATATAGGGGTAGGATGGCTTTCAAAAAGTAATAAAAGAGATAGAAGCTGAGAAAGATAAGACTAATGATAGGTTGGACGCCAACAGTAAAAAGAGTTGTGATGGTGTTTTTAAGGAGAGAATGAGGAGATTGTGTGCTTCACAATATTTAAAAAAAAGTGTGTGAAATAGTGTTTTCTTTCTTCTTTGGAATTGTATTAGTTGGAAAAAATAATCTGAAAATTGATGATTGTGAAAAGATGAAAATAACTAGACACGTACAAAACTTGGTTTAATGGCATGTGTATGGAAGTGCAAGTTTAATGGTGTTGTTGAACATTAAACATAAATTTAATGATGTTTTTGAATAAATAAACCGGTTGTACCTGCAATAAACGGTAAAAATTGTATTTTTAAACAAGGAATATAAATTTAATGATAATTAAAATGATATTACTTAAAAATATGTATATGCTTAATGACAATTTATATAAGAAATAACTGAATATATATAAAAATGATAGTCTAGTACTTTTGTTCTTTCTCTACTTAAGAGTTAAGAATTTAAATCACTTTAAAAAAAATTGTTGCTTATTTATAACTTAAGAGTTAAGAATTTAATAATCACTTTAAAAAAATATATTTTTGTTGCCTTTTTATAATATTAACTGTAAAACAGTGGAGTAATATTTCAACGGGAATTAACGAACAGGTTTGGAGTTCATCTGATCATTTCACAAGTCGCAACGCAAACCTCCTTAATCGGCTATCTGGGCATACACCCACGCTATCAAAATTCTCCTCCTCTCGATCCGTTCTAGCGCTTTCGAGGTAATATGAAGATGATTTATCCCTCTTTATCTCTTTCAATTGGGTTAATCTTGAGCTTGCCTGTCTTTTCACTTCTTAAATTTCTTGAATTCATGTATCAATTTATAGGCTTTGATTTTGTTCCCATCAGGGCTTCTAGTGAATTTTGCAATCGTAATCGTCAGTAGTCTCGGAAATTGCAAACTTTTGTTATTGTTTGATAATTGATTTCCGAATCCTTTTTTATGCTTAATTGTTCATGAATTTGATGTCAATTAGCTTGGATAGACCTAAGGAATTGATTCTCGGTTACTTCCTTAGACCTGAGTTAGCATTCCATGCATTATTGTATCAGTTTATGATCCTTTACGTCTTCAATTCGCCAATATCTCTTAATCATCAATAACTGCATTTGGTACTAATGTTCCCGAAGATGGAAATGAGTTTGAAGCTCATTTCCTTCTAATGCTCAGTTGATTTGCTTCCGTTTCAGATCCAAAGCACACAATCTGCTTTATATTTTCCCCAAATTGATTTGCTTGAAAATCTAGGTTTTATGTTTTTCCTAATGAGTTTGTGGTGAACAGGTTGACTCCAGCTGAATGGTTCAACAAACAGATTCAAAGTTCAGTGAACGCATTCTAGCAAATTCAGAAACTAGTTTTCCAACGCATGATAAGAACACATCTTTGAGAAACTTGCAAAACGAGAAGAAATCAGATGAAATTGAAAACTCACTTTTGAAAGACGATGACTCTTCTGTTGAAGCCAATAAGGTTTCAGGCATCAAAAGGCCCCAACAAACACCTACCAATAACAAGGGGAATCTTGTTTATGTCCGGAGGAAGACAGAATCAGAACATCATAAAAACAGCAATTGTATCAAACCAAATGATCAACCTATAAAACCACATGAACACGATGAAAAGAATCATGAACAAAAAAATCCAATCAACGATTCTACAATATCTACTCACAAAGATACAAAGATTAGTTCACCTTCAAAGGGATTATCAAGTATTCAACAATGGGAAGAGCGATATATGAGATTGCAGAACTTTTTAAAGGTTTTAGATTTGTCAAATCAAGATGATTATCGCCAGAGTATGTGATTCATTCTTGAATTTTAATACTTATGTTATGCAGTTTTGATTTTTCTTGTTTGTATAATTTGACACTTTTTTTTTTACCTAATTTGTCAGTGCTTCGCTCCCTCACATCAGTTGGGCTTAGCAGAGTTGCAGTTGAACTAGAAAAGAGATCAATTCAGCTCTCTATGGAGGAAGGTAATATAACCGTATGCTTTCTTTAAATAAAAATGCGGTGAAGATGTTAACATGTTACATGTACAAATTATATATCGACATGAAAGAAATGGTGGAACTTTTTGGTTCTACTTTTCTTATTCACATCAAAAACTATTTATATACAAAGTTGACTTATCCTAGACTAGGAAAGAAATCATCTACTATAAATACAAAGTTAAATGTATATCAATCATTCCTAGCTTTGATACATTTGACTTAAACCCTACCCTGAGTAAAGGCTTGGTAAGAATATGTGCCTCTTGATCTTGGAGGGCACATAGGGGAGTTTGTTCTTTCCACAATCAATCTCTGACTTGATAAAAAATGAAAAACATAAAGTACATTGTTATAAAAAGTGAAGGATTCAGTGTTTATCACCTTATTAATATGATAGAAGATTAGGCATCGCATTTAATTCCGAATAATTACCCTTTAAATTTTCAATTCCAAATATAATTTACATACCATATATTTAATATTATATTGTATTAAAAAACATTTATTAATATTATTGGTTCGGTTAGGTTTTTAGTGGTTCGGTTTTGGATGAAAACCATAACCGAATCATATGTATTTGGTTAATAAAAATAGTCAATAGAAACCGCACCACCTTTTTTAGTAATGATTCGGTTAAAATGGTTCGATTATTTCGGTTAATTTGGTTTTGGTTCAGTTTTTCGGTTAATATGCTCACCCCTAGATAAAATGCCTTTTGAAGGATACCAATTGGTGTTTGGAAGCCGAGAGGTTTTGAGGGAAGACAGTTTATGAGATAAGTAGCGATAAAGATTGTTTCTCCTCAAAATGAATGTAGGACGTTACTAGAAAACATGATTGAATATGTTTTTCATTAGCATTGCCAATTATTTTCACAAACACATATTTTTCTCATAAAGAGAATCACTTCACAATTTTAATCTTAAGTAAATTTTCTCACCAAAAGAAGATTTAAGTTTATATATTGTACATACTAGATGTGTGTCTGCGCAAAGCGGCGACGACAAATAACTCGTTTGCCGAATTGTTTTCTTACGCGGTATCATGGTCTACGTATATGGCCTCTGCCCCCGCATCCCCCCTATGGTATTGATATGTTTAATTATTTAATATTTACTTGTATACGAGTTCAGTCCCTATAGTTGTTTAGGTTTATGATTATAAATACTTGTAGTTAGGGATTCCAACATAATAACTTTTGAAACAGTTAATTAATAGAATAGTTATCATGTTCATATCGATCAAGCCATGTTAATTCATTGTGTCATTTTATCGTTTTTTTTTGTTTTATTTATTTATTATTTTTTTGCTTTCTTGCGTAACATGAGCATACAATATATAATTATATAATTTCATTAAAATAATAGAAAAAAAATAATTGGTAAATGTTATAATTAGTTATAAAGTAATAAAATAATTGTCAATTTTAAGTAAAATATTGATGTTTTAACCTTATATTTATATTTTTGGTTCAGACTATTGGTGTAAATTAATTAATAATGATGTCTAGATTAAGATATCTAAATTTATTTATATACATGAATTCAATATATCAAAATTGTCATTTTGCAGCTAACTGAATTTCATAATAACTTTCCGTATTCACGTCTTTTAAATTTTGGCAAGTATCAATGATTTATTTATGTATAATTGATTTGTATAAAAAAAATTCTAAGTTATAGTACCTCTTAAAATTCAAGATATAACAAATATGGTTTATATTTATAATAATATAAGTATAGATATAGATATAGATATAGATATAGATTTTTAGTAATATAATCAACTTCACAATTACTTTTATCTCTTAGTACTTAACAAAACTTGTGTTCTTCACCATGAATTAAAGGTTTCAAGAGAAGTTCCACATTCCAGCTTAGCTTTTAACATACTTAAAATATGACAAAGATAAAGAAAGTTTGAGAACAAGATCTTGAAAATGGATCTATAGATGCTCTTAGTTTAAATTAAACAACCATTATATTCTTGAATTATGCATATGTTTCCAGTCTTATTGTAAAATGAACACTATTTATTTTCTTTAAAATTTGCAGCAAGAGAAGTCCAACGTGCAAAACTTGTGGATACATTGCATAAATTTTCAACAACTACTGGAGAACACCCATCAAACAAGTGAAGCAATCGATCCTGCATACAGTTGTTAATAAGTTGTTAATAGTAACCAGCTTTTTTTTTTTTAATCTTTATTCTCCACTAACCTGTAAAATAATGAAACTTTAGGGGGTTCAAATGAAATAAAGACAAACTATATGGGGGTCAGTCACTGTAAAAAAAAAAAACATCCACCGAAAAATCAGTACCACTGTCTTCATCGTTAAATTCAAATCATAGAACTACAATGACTAAACACAGAAAAAACATTTCTTAATCACATGTACCTAATGTTGAAAAACTTGTACACTATACTGGATTACACTGTTTTTGTTAAGTCATTCTCAAAGATAGATAAACATTACATAACCGAAAATAACTGCCCTTCCACCGTCTCTCTCACACACACTATGTGTAACCGCTGCCACCGCCGCTTAAGAACTCAATCATCCGTTTCATCAACTTTTTCTTTCTTTTTTCTCAAAGGCATGACTAGTAGCACTTCATCAGATTCTCAACTCCGCCATGCATCGCCGGAAGCTCAAGAGATTTTCCGGCCAACCACCACCGTAAGTCCACACCAAGAACATCAGAACCCTAGAAAGAAACGAACAAAGAGGATCAAACTCAAACCCCAGAACATGAACGCCATTGTTGGTGGAAGTTCCGGTGGTCATTCAAGAAAACCCAAATACACAAAGAAACCCGACCCGAATGCTTCTAAAATCACCCAACCCTGTAGCGAATGTGGGAGAATGTTTCCATCGTTGAAGGCTCTGTTTGGCCACATGCGTTGCCACCCTGAACGGCCATGGCGGGGGATCAATCCACCACCACCATCATCCAATCTCCACCACACTCCGCCACTCATGGCGGCAGATGATGGTAATACTAATACTCTTCCAACCACCACCGAAGACCACTATCTCGCGTCTTGCTTGTTAATGCTGTCCAAAGCTCCGGCGACGTCGTTTAAGTGCAATAGTTACAAAAAGGTGTTTGGGTCCCACCAGGCGTTTGGTGGGCACAGGGCTAGTCATAAGAACGTGAAGGGCTGTTTTGGAATAATGAGAAATGAAAGGGGTGTGGAGTTCAAAGAAGGAGAGTTGGAGGGCCATTTTGATAATAAATGATGATGATTGTAGGAAGTAGTGGTAGTGAACATAAGTGTAGTATTTGCTTAAGAGTGTTTCCAAGTGGACAAGCACTTGGTGGGCATAAAAGGTGTCATTGGGAGAAAGATGATGGTCTTGTACCAGCTGCATCAACATATGTACTCTCTCCCACAAAGTGTAATATCGATTTGAATTTGCCTCCCCCTCGAGAAGATTATTCAAGTTCTTCAAATTTAGATTTGGATTTAAGGTTAGGACTTTGATATTGTAATCAGGTATAATTGTGTCACTATGTTACTCTGTTATATATCTATGCTTACAATGTAGGAATGATCATAAACCGATACCCAGTCAAATTAATTACCAGTTCCAAACACTGTAATAGTTCTAAAAAACAAGAACATGGACCTGTTCTTATCGAGTCCAAAGTTTAGGAACCAGAACCAGTCCCACTCATATCTGTTTCGGTTCTGGTTCCAAACCGGCTCTCATTTTGAAGATCTATAACCACAATTTTTAGTCTTCAAGTCAAAATACTAAATAATCCCAAAAAAGAATTTCGAAAAGATATTAAATAAGGCCCATAGTCAAGCCCAATCAGTCAGACCCAATAGCCCAATTCCTTTGTTTACTCATATGGAATACTGTTACTAAATTGTCATTGATTTGATTTTGACGTGCTTTTTATACTTGTATTAATCTCAAAAAGTGGAGCTCAAGAGCTCTAGTTATGTATTATCTAATATCTATCATAGTGTACGAAGAAGAATGTTATTTTAGTAATTACTCATTAGACTTTGAGCGGAAAATTATTAATATATAAGTTAATTACTTTTATTATAATTATTTTATGTTAGATGACAAAAGTCAAAATACATATTTGACCTCAAAGTAACATGAGGTAATCCATGTATTTAAAAATTAATGTCTGAAAAAATGATTACAAAGGAGTTGGTAACGTTGTTCTATCATGTTTATGTATGTTTTCTAAGATAATAATTATTTAAACTTCATTAAACAGAAAAATAATAGTTTCCTTAATAAACAAAGTTATCGTTATTAATTATTGAGTTAAAAAGTTAAATAAAGAGTTCCATTATCCTCTACGTGAGCAAGGCTACAAATTGGCATATAAGTTTTAGTTTAAGTTGCTTAAATATTAATTTTTTTGAGTCTTGACAACTTGTGTTTCTTTTCCCCCATTCCCCAGCAGTTTTTTTCTTCCAAAACTGCATGAAGAAACTTTTTGAGAAACTCAAACTCATAATTTAAGGAATGGGAAAACTCGGTTAATTATGTTGACTGAAAATCATCTAGTTTTTTGGCTGGACCTAAAATAATCGCTATTGAATATAGAAACAAAAATCATACGAACCCGAGAAATGCAAAAAAAAAAAAAAAAAAAAGACGTTAAGGAGTATATCAACGAGCACCGCAAAAACAAAACATTGCACACTCAAATTCCATTAAAAACCATCATGATCACAAAGATCAACATTTATGAAACATAGGACATCGTACATTATTTCATTGAATAGATTCGCGATGTCCACTCCTGTAACAATCCATAAAATACATTGGCAAACGTTGTTAGGAGCTAACGTTGTCAAACAACACACTTGGACCACTTAGTAACCATTCAATATATAAATAAATATATTCAATTTTTGTCTCTACTTATGTCGACTAATAGGGCTCAATATTAGTGTACGAAAAATCGTGTCATGTTATGAACATGTTAACATTTTTAGAACATACATGTTACCGTAATCCCAAAAATACAAACTTCGTAAGAATCCGACTTAATACGGAAAAAATATGATTACTATAGTAATAAAAATTTACCGCACATAAGAAGACACAACGTCAAAAACTATGAGGAGAACAATTAACTTTTAGCAGAAGTTACCAAAAATAGAAACGTAGTACTGCTAAGTAGAAATTTTGAGACAAAGAACGCCTGAATCAGAACCCGCATGAAAGAGTTATGATTTTTATAAAATCATAACCGTTATAAAATATAAGCTAAAAACAAAAGTTAAAATTAGTCAAAACGACCAAGAGGGAAGTTGTAGTATACGTCGAGACCTACTCAAATATATAAGAGTCATTGAAAACGGAGTTCGCATGCGAGAGATACGAATTTTCAAAGATTAAAAATCATTCATGCGCACACTTGCACACAACGCGCGATGTGCATTCTGACACCTCTATCCGGCATGATACGGATGATGTGGCACCATGATAGGGGACACGTGTCAGCCCCCAGGGTGGTTCACACACAACTTGCGCAGCGCGTACTGCATGACATGCATTCCAAAATCCCTTATAAATAGCAAGCTTCAGCATATCATTTCCCACACCTTCAAAATTACTATTCTCTCTCTCTCTCTCTCTCTCTCTCTCTCTCTCTCTCTCTCTCTCTCTCTCTTCGTGTCTATGCCTTCCGAGAAATCCTCGAGTTTCGGGCTTTCGACTCTACCCTACATCAACAGTTTCAAACATCAAGAGTGAGTTAACAACCACACTTTACTGTTTTCAAACCGTTTACTGGGGGGGGGGGGGGGGAGGAGGAGGAGGGGGGATACATGTTATAAACTATCGCTTTCATAAATATTGCTAACTGTATAAACTAAGTAATATGATTATGCATAGAACATTAGGATAATATTATGCCTGGTAGATACCCTGCCCAACTTTTAAGGATAATATTATGTCTTGTTGTTACGCTGACTCACACTGATATAAAACATCATACCTAGTTGTTACGCCGACTAGTTTCTAGGAAACATTTTTTCTCTACTCATTACTATAGTCATCCTTTGGATAAGCTTAGTACCTAGTGGTTACTCCACCCAAATATCTGGCTATGCAAAACACTCTGACTTATTTATATATATGTATATGATTATATATATATAATAATAATAATAATAAGCATCTCGTATAAATACAACAAAGAACAAACCGCGATCGATCAGATGAGGCTCCCACAAACAAGTGTTAGATGACACACAATTCATCCCCTAACTGAATAACTTTTAGCTATAAGCCTTAGGCTTATAATTGTTAACTAGACGAATGCCCGCGCGTTGCGCAGAAACATCTATATAGTTGAAGTATTTACAAATATATGTTTTCTTAAAATATAACAATAATGCTGTTGTTAAATTTGATATAATAATTTGTATACTAAATTGATATAATATATTGATTATTTTGAATTATATAATAATATATACATCTATTATAACTGCATTATCTCAATCGTTTGAATAACTTCTACCCGCAAGTTACACGTGAATAAAATTAAATATAATATATGGTTTAATGTTATTTATAGTTATTGTTATTGTTAATAAAGTTTTTAAAATTTATTTGCTTAATGTTTTAATTTTTGTCATTATAATTATTTAAAACATCAAACATTGTTTTTTGATTTTAAAGGTAAAAATATAATCATTTATATATAGTTATTTTTAACTATTGTTATTGTAAGTTATTTTAAACTACTTATTTGAAAATTTTTAATGATTATAAAAATATCTTTAGGAAATATTTTAGTTAAATTGAGATTACAATTTAGTTTTTTCATTTATAACTACAATTTATCACTTTTAACTATTTACAAAATATTCTTTGGTTTTTTTAAGTGGAACTGAAATTTATATTTAAGTTGACACTGTAATGTTATATTTAAATTAACAATTCAAGTATTTTGTTTAAACTGTTCAAAAGTTGTAGTTTTAAACTGATAATGGTTTACATACAACAACATTTTAAATATAATAAATTAAATATAATATGTTAAAAGTTAAAGACATAACTTTATAAGTAGAAATAAATGTATTATTTAAAAATTGAAATTTAGTTTATTTATGATTATACTTTAGGTTTGATATTTATTTAACTTTATTAATCAACTTATAATCATTATTAGAAAGACACTACAATTTATCACTTTAGACTATTTACAAAATATTTTTTGGGTTGTTTAAGGTAAAGTAAAATTTACATTTAAGTTGACCCTATAATGTTATATTTAAATTAATAATTTAACTATTTTATACAAATTGTTCCAAAATTGTATCTTTAAAACGATAATCGTTTACATCCAACAATATATTAAACTAATAAATTAAGTATAATATGTTCAAAGTTAAAAACATAACTTTATAAGAAGAAGTAAATATATTATTTTAATATTGAAATTTAGTTTATATATGATTACACTTTAGGTTTGATATTTATTTAACCTTATTAACCAACTTATAACTATTATTAGAAAGAAATTCAAAAGTCATGGGAGTTTCAAATGAATGTGGTGAAAAGAAAGATGCATGGGAGTTTCAAATGCATGAGGTTCAAGGAAAAATGCTAGCTTTATAAGATATATAGATATAGATATAGATATAGATAGATATAGATATATAGATATAGATAGATATAGATAGATATAGATATAGATATAGATAGATAGATAGATATTAAGTGAGAGGGGAATATATGTATAGATTTATACGAAGTTGACACCTCCACCTGCAATTGGTAGCTACAACCCGACAATAGTCGGTGTAGACATAACTTTCTTTCCATGGACAACGTCTAATGAAGCGTCGGGAAGCTGGGCGGACGACAACAACTAGTCATAGCACGATTATAGGAACTCATCGTAACATTGTTAAACTCAAACTACTACTCTTTAAGGGAACCCTCGAAAGGAGTAGTAGCGTACACAAAGTAAAACAGTAAAAGAATACTAGGATGGTATTTCTCTAGTGACTACAAGACACCAAACTATACTGGATTCTAGGGAATCTATAAAGAACTAAAGAATATGAATCCTAATATATATGTTCCTATTCATAAACAAAGATCCAGATCTCGAATATAGGTACTAAACTATCCAAACCACTACTAGGGTAACCCTAAGAAAACAATTTGGCATACACAAATGCACTAACACAAGTTTAAGAATACAACAAACGTTGGCATAACACAAACTACAAAGTATTTTA